CGACAGATAGATCGATAGACAGTTGGAGGGGGGGTGGATGAGATAGATCAGATGGTTGGATGGAACGATGGATGGAGAGTAAAGTGGAAATTAAGGTGAATAGATATACAGAATGAGTGATTGACAAATTGATAGACATATTCACAGACGGACAAAGAAATAGACACATTCATTAATAGATACAGATAGATATTCATGCATCCACTTTTACTGATAAAATGGTAGACAGATACTCATTAGTAAACATGTAGACAGGCCCTTGACAGCATACCTAGATAGACAGGCAGATCCGGTGGCCATCGGAGCCATCGGCAGAAAGATACAAGGCTAAAAGGCGCTAACAAGGCCGGGCAAGACCAACACCCGACTCAGCGACTGAGCCATTAAGCGGATACGATTAATTAAGGGATGACAGCAACAGACAAGCAGAGAACAGAATGATAAGGACAAGCACGGTGGCAGTGGTAATGACAGTGACAATGGCAGTGGTTACGGATATGACAATCACAGTGATAATGATAATGGGCAATGATAATGACAGTGTTAGTGATGAGTGTCAATGGTAAGGACAGTGTCAGTCATAATGACAAGGTGGGCGATAATGACAGCGTGTCCGTGTTACCTGGTAGCTCACATACATCTGGAGATGAACTTGATAGTTGAATAGTCACACAGAGATCTATATATGTACAGACACAGGTAAGTAAATACTCTGACAGTCAGGAGAAGGAGGATCAGGATTAGTTTGTTAACTGGCGATGCGGGGGGGGGGGGGGGGGGCGCACCTTCGCCCGATAGAGACAGGGCTATGCGAACAAAAAGACAGATAGACTGACAAAAAGACAGGTAGAGAGATTAATTCTTATATAGATAGACTGATCGAGTTGCTGGTAGACTGAGAGGCAGATAGACAGTCAAAATGAATAAATAATCATAACAGATAGGTAGATGCATGAGCTTATGAAGACAAGCATGCAGACGAATGAAAGAATCGTGGCAATCACGCGAAGATTGATAATGAAGGTAGATAACCTGATGAACAAAAGGAGGCGGGGGGGGGGGGAATCGCCCCAAACAAACAACAAACACAAAAGCAAAGACAAAATCCTAACCGAAGAGAAATCTTTCTGAAAACAAAATTCACCCGTCATAGGTAGGCAAAGGAGAAAAAGACCCCCCCCCAAAAAAAAAAAAAAAAAACTCCCTTAAAAGGGAACTCCCCCCCAGGGTAATACCCCAAGAAAACCGCAGCCTGGCGGCGGGCGGCGGCCACTGACCCACAGCCGTCCCGCAGCGGCGCTCGCAGCTCGCCCTGCTGACGAAGCGGTTCTCGTTGCCATGGCAACCCCCATAGAGGAACTGCTTGCAGACGCCGCTTGTGCTCTCGTAGGACCAGCGCGCCTGGTAGTCCGCGCAGGGGCCTGAGTCTTGGGGCAGAAAGCAGTGCGCTGCAATGGAAGGCAACAGCAATGATAGCAATACTGATAATGATAACAATATGGAAACTAATATCACTTGTAATAAAAATAAAAAAAACACATACACACAGGAGAGAGAGTGGTTTGGCTGTATTTGTAATGGGGTGTCGTCATTATTATCCTTATCATCATCAGCGTTTTATTACAAGTATAATTATTGCAATAATCATAAACATGATCATTATAACTCATAGTTATCATCGAAATTACAGTCGTTACTACTACTATTATTACTACTAGTATCATTATCGCTCCAATTACTCCTATTTCTGATATATATATATATATATATATATATATATATATATATATATATATATATATATATATATATATATACACACACACATACATACACATACATAAATACACATATACACATAAATACACACACACATATAATTCACCAAACAGCGGATAACCGCAACTGACAGTACGAGGAAGTATCCGTTTCCGTCTGAATAAGCAGCCGCTCATTAGAGCACCTCGGCCGCCACCGCGCCCGGCCTCCGTCAGCCACCTCATCTGCGGCCAAGTCCCGCAGATCGCCTTTCTGATTTGCGACTGCCACGTCTCCATCAAAACAAAAGTCCCGCAAAATCGCTAGGGACCAAGGCGTTTCTTTTGGCTGTTTGTGGAGCCAGACATTACATATTTTGGACCACCTCCCATTACTTATATGTCGTTGGTCTCTTTCAAGAGACGTAAATGAATTAATTTTCCATCTTTAAATGTGAATATTACATATATTTTTATTATCCTTACAATTACAGGGTATTTATCCTTATTTTCATATTTTCCTTCTTTCTTTCTTTCCCTACAAAATGCAGACAACCCTTGTTCCCACACACAACCTGTGGGTTGTGATAATGAAGTGAGTTATGATAATGATGAGCGTTGTGAGTCAGGCGACGCACCAGGACCTTCCGCCCCCCCGTGCCTGTTGAACCTCGACGTTCGGAAAGCATCAAGTTGAAGTCCGTTCAAGACTCCCGCTCGTGAACGTGAAGGGGGAGGGAGACGTGGGTTGTGATAATGAAGTGAGTTATGATAATGATGTGAGTTATGAGTGACATGTTGTGATGCCAGTATTATCGTATGTACATTGTGATGATTATGTGGTTATATTATACACACTGCTATTGTGTGATATATTACACCAAGTGAAATGTAGAAGGTTATGTTTAGCTTATATTGTTGTATAGCATATCAACGATGTGAAAGAGCGAGATTCTCTGTACGGTTTATAGAGTACAATATTTTATTTTGTCTCTGTAGTCACACGCTGTCAGTAACATTCTCAGACGGAGCCTGGCGTGTGGGCAGAGGAACATGAAGAGTTCCATTTTATTTTCGTCAGAGATGATCTCCAATGAACCTACTTTAGTTTTCATCGTCTTTTTCTTCACCCTCAAACATCATAGAGAAACACCAAGCAAACATAGAAGACGAACACAACCCACTGCTATTCAATAAACACCAATCAGTACAGTTCGTCGTCTAATCAGTCACAATACTAACAAGCAATCAGCAAGCAGGTCAAACTTACCAGCCTGACCAGTCCTCACGCACTGTTCTTCGCAAGTCTGTTTGTCCGCAAACCTGTTGCTGTTTCCGAGGCAGCCGCTATACCGGAAGGGCCTGCAGGCTCCGACGCTAGTGTCGTGGTACCAGGATGGCTTGGAGTTGGTGCAGGGCCCCGTCGCGCGCGGAAGGTGGCAGGCATCTGTAGTCGCAGAAAAGGAAAGGAATTAGCGGCAGAAATGGGAAGAAAAGGTGGATAAAGTGAGATTCTCTCTTTCTCTTTTCCCACACTCTCTCTCACTTTCCCTCCATCCCACTCTCTGTTTTTTCCTCTCTCATTTACACAGAAACGAAGCAGGAAGAGCTGCAGAGAAAGAATGAGGCATGGGGATATCTTGAGTGAATTGGGAACAATCTGCAATAGATTAGGAAAAAAAAGTCGCCGACTTACGACAATCCTGGTTAAATCAGCGATATATCACGAAACACGTAAATTCTTCTAAAAAAATCTTTGAAATTTCCCTCTAACAACCAAGGGAGGAATATAATATTTTCCTGCTACTTTTCTCGGCTTTTTAGAAGTTATGGAAACATTCCACAGCTCCCATAATATAACCTAAAAAAAGGGCAAAATGCTGGGACTCTGCCTCCTTCGACTGCATTTCCTGCATGTCCGGAGAGAAATCCCATTTTCATTCTTCACGTATCCTATGTCCCTTTACGTCTTTTCTCGGTCTTCCAGAAGTTGCTTAATACCTTCAGAAGCATAAGGTTCTTCTAAACACTAAAAAAAAAAAAAAAAAAAAAAAAAAAAAAAAAAAAAAAAAAAAAATATATATATATATATATATATATATATATATATATATATATATATATATATATATATATATATATATATATTAATTGCTAACAGAACCTTGGCTAACAGTGCTGGTCAAACCAAACAATCCTTGCATATATGCAATACAGAATATAGTGCAAAAATCAAAATCAAAGGTATTTTACCATACACTGAAATTGATCTCTCTTCCCTTCGTTACTCTTTGTGGAACACTACGTCTGTCGAAGGGCCAGGCCCAGAGCGATGCATAGTATGTCTTGGAAAGGCAGCCAAGGGTAGCAGTCACGGGGGAATGGGGATGAGGTGACAGCAGCATTGTCGTCTCCGAAGTGCAGGAACGATGGGTCAACAGACAGCGCCACGAGCTGCGACACTGAAAGGCTGGGTGGCAGAGCCAGAAGGAACAAGGCACGCTCAAGAATTGGTACTTCTGGTGCTGTAGTATGATGACCCAATAATTTCAGTTGTGTTAATACACTTTGTACCCACTATGATAGGGAGCAGGCAAGGGACACGAAGGAGGAATGTCTTGATGCTGCAGTGGTCTAGGCAGACTCTGGACACAAAGCACAGGTGTCTGTGATGACTGCCAGGGTGAAGGGATTGTGGCAAGATCTAAACTAACGATGAAAGAGCCAGGCTGCGAACTGGAAAGGGGTTGACTCGGTGATGTTTGTCCTTCAGGAATGATTGAAACTGATGCTGGGGAATAGTCGAGACACTATGTTCGGCGAGGACATCGTCGACTGGGGAGTCAGGAAGTGAGGAATTCCATGTGTAAGGACTCAATATCACGAGCTCGGAGTTCAGATCTGTCGTCAGTGATTGATCCCCTGGGGAAGGGGCCTGCGGCAAATATAAATTACATATTTAGCCCATTCGCGACGGGTAAAAATGAACAAAAAATGGGGAAAATGCTATGCTCATTTTTATTTTTTTGTGAAATGTCTCTACACATAGATGGCTCTGCCTTACCTGATTTCATCTTTACTTGAATTGGCGGGAAAATGTATTTATACTAGTGCTATGAATATCGATGGTTATTTTTATTATAAACATTATAATTATTATAATATTATAACCATTAGTGACAGCAAAGTAAGATAACGTAAAATATTTTCGTAAATTAACCCATTCACCCCATGTGGCATCTAATCTTGCCATGGCTTGTAGAAGTTCCCAGTCCATATGGCATGTCATAAGCCAAGATGACTGACTGCAGATTGTTGTTTTGGCCCAATAGATGTTTTACATGGTTGGTTGATAATTATGTAACGTGTGTAATTATGAGATATTTATTTATAACAAATAAATAATGACATGTGATCATGTGATTTGCTTATACTAGACTGCGTGATTATGACGAACTTTGGCCTGACTGGCTGAAATATAGCATTGGCTTTGATTGGTGGATTAGGTCGCATGGTATGACCTGATTGTTTCCTTATCTGCTTAAGAGGTCGGTCAAGGGTTCATTCAAGCAGAATGACCTACAACATGGAAGGAAAACGTTCCCGCTCCCTCCCGCACTCCCGCGATCCCCAGCCTTCCAAATGGTATACCTTCCCAGTATTTTTCTACTACCTCCAGTCCCGGAAAACGGGTGTAGTCGGTATAGTTAGGTCAAACCGCCGCCACGTGCCTCGAGACCTGAAGGTGAAGAAAAAGGTTGATATGGACTTCCGAAGTTCCCAAAGCGGGATGCTAAGCTTGTCCTGGATTGACACAAAACCAGTGAACAACCTTAGCTCGGTTCATGCCACAGCAGTGGTGCAATGCTTGAAGCCCCAGTGTGTTGCTGAGTATAATGCAGGGATCAACTGGATTCCTCATACACTTCAGTGAGAAGATCACTGAAGTGGTACAAGTATTCTTTTATCTCTACGACTTTGCTACCATCAACACCTTTGCAGTCTACAAGATGCTGGGGCGTCAAATGGTGGAGCAGGCCGATTTCAAGGTTGAACTGGCTATAGCAATGGTCAACCATTTTATACCACAGCAAGAGGTGACGGGGGCGACCTTCAATTCTGTTCAAGGCTACAAGCAGAACTAGACCTTGATAACTGTCTAGTCGCCACAGTCTCTACAGCATGATTACTGTTAGTGGTGGAGGGAAGAAGTAGATATGACGTTATTGCATCGGGGCCCAAATCTGAAGGATGCACGAGATATAGAAGGGGACCTGAACATTCTCCCTCACTGCAAAGAGGTTGATTTGAAGTTGATTTGATTTCCGAAGCAATATGAGAGGTGAGCAAAGAGGGACCACTTGACATGCCACTCCATTGATGAAACTTGTGAAGACAAGTGTCTCATTTGTACAAGATGCCTGCCAGATGTGCTACTGACAAAATAATAGAAAAGAAAATGAAACAAGTGCGGAAAAGTGTACAGAGAGAAAGAGAGAGAGAAAAAAAGAAATCAAAGGCATTCCATAAATAAACCAGCAGAGGAAGAAAACAGACTTAATTCTTACATGGTGAAACAAATACAATCTGGCCAATCCGGGCGATGCAGCAGACGTCTCCCAGCAGCCGAAGCAGCAACACCTAAGAAGGTACCACTGAGACGCCCGACCATAATGCCAACCGCTTGGACTACGGCGAGACTTCTCTCCCAGCGACATCCCCAGCTGAGCCAAGAAGGGGATCAGCACTTCTCCAAACGGATCCTCCCTGACGGGTGGCTACAAGTGTAACCCGGTCGGGTCATGTACCATGATCCGTCATTCTCAAAAAAAAAGAAAAGAAAAAAAGAAAAGGGCAAAGCAGGATACGCGCCTTCAGGGAGAAGGTAGCTAATTAAAGCTACTGCATCAGTGTTTCACAATTTTTCTGGTTTTATGATTTTATCAATGACTATTAAACTTATAAATAAATCTAATCTTTTAGTTTGAGATGTAAGTTACATCATATCACATTGCAACTACCTTGGTTATAACAGGTCTGAACATGCTAAGCTTCTGCTCGCCAACGCATATCTTTGAACTCGGCATTTGGCAATCTAACCTGTATGTGTGTTTGAACCTGTCGAGCCGCCACCAGCCATGCATCTCTCTCGGAGCTCCACGTACGCTAGCCTTATTTAGACGCGTCTGAACCTGTCTAACTTTACCAGTTTACTTTTAGGACATATCCTGTGTCAACGTGGGGCAGTTTAATGGTTCACTGTCCAGGAGTGTGTTGGTTGCCAAGTCCCATTCAAGTGTGCTGGTCGCTGAAATCATTTCAGTCGTGCAGCAGTTGCCATTGTTTATTTTTCTTTTCAGTATTGTTTAAAAAATCACCCAGTCATATATACGAACGTGTCATAACGTTCCTAGTGAAAAAGAAAGCCCCCAAAATTTACTACAAATCCACTGGAATCCGTACCCTCTCCCTCGGGATCGACGCAGGTGGCAGCGCACTCCTCCCGGGAGCCGAAGCGGTTGAGGTTCCCTTCGCAGCCCCCGTACCAGAAGCGACTGCAGTCTCCAAACTCCACGTCGAAGAACCATTTAATTGTGAAGTTGACGCATGGACCGCGTTCCTTGGGTAGACCGCACGCCTCTGAAACGGGAGAGGGAAAGGCGTCTGGGAGAAGCTTCGGTGTTCTCAGCTCCGGAGGAAAGTTTTAATTGATTTAGCTCAGTCTGCATCTCAGGGGAACTTT